TATATTAAGATCCACACGCTGCGGGTTCCGTCGGGAGAAACTGCCTAAGCCGGAGGGGGGACAATTCGAGCACAACATACGGACAGCGAGATCTGACATGTTTCAGTTATCCTTAGGCCCGCACGCAGTATGAAGCTTTGCCATCGCTAGACAAGGCGAGACATCTCGCTCCAAATGCTGGCCTGGGTCGTGCGGGAGTTGCGCATCTCCGAAATTCAGAGAATGATGAGTCATGATTAGCCATGCCGAAACTGATGCAAGCATCCAGTAGCGCCAGCGCATGCGAGCCATGACAGAGCGTTTCAGCTTGCGGCTGCTCCTCCTCCGAGTCGACCTGACAAGCGTGGCATGTTGCGAGACTGACGTGGGCATGGCATGCATGGCTTCCGCTTGATCACATCAATTACTTCACAGGTCGTTCAGATGAAAAGACTTCACACGACGCACGCTTCGCCTCGTGGCCGATGTTGACCAAGTTCAGCCGCTGCACGAAAACACCACAGCGGAGCTCAACCTCTCTCCTGTCAGTCTCCGACAATTGTATTTTTGACACTCGCACTCGGACAAGCGTGGCAAGGTCTGTAGCGAGACTGGTCCAACGATTTATTCAAATCAACCTTGGCTCGTGTCCCCAAGTACAACGACTAAGGACAGTTTGGCTGTTAGGTAGGGCTACTGACAAAACAGTAACAAACAAGCATAGAGACATACAAAAAGGCCCATCTGACAGCTGCTTTCCATCAAAGCAAACGTTTAAAGGACCTGTGAAACAAGGGCCCATTCCGGCACTCAAAGTTCATAGCTCACTTACCTCATGGCTGCTTACGTTACATGCCATGCACTCACTCGCAAAAGCTTCACATGCAGACACTTTGCGGTTCATGGTAAGTCCTACACCACGCAACTAACACAAAGGCTACAGAGTGCGAGCAGTAGAACAAAGCGGAAGTGCAGAAGCATGCAACATGAAGACGGTACATGTCAAGAACTCGCACTGCTCCCCTTTTGTTTCGGCTTGCCGGAAAGTGACTGCTGTCTGCGGTTGCAGGCCTTCGGCCAAAAGCGGAGCCGTCAAGAAGCAAGCTGCTGCAGTCACGAAAAGCCCGTATCGTAAGAACACGGAAGCACAACAGTTAAAGAAGGCTATGCAGAAAGCAATGAGCTAGAAAGTGGTATAACAACGGGCGAAGCAGCTGAAGTTGCGAGCTGAAGAGCGTATGCTGCCCAAGCCCGCTCAAGGGATATATCCCAGGAGTGGGTGGGTGGGAAAAGAAAAGTTAGCTGAGCAAGCTGTGTTGTTGCTGTGGTGTCCCGCTCGAGCAGCTGTATACGGGCGACGGGACAGGACTTAACCAAAACCCTCCTGAGTAAACACAGTGACCGAAAATCCATCCACTTCCAGACTCGCACATTCTTTCAAAGTGTATCCATGCAGCTCGCTTCATGAATTCAACAGCTCCAGGTATGCACTCACTCGCAAAAACTTCACATGCAGACACTTTGTGAGGGGCTTCGCATGCATCAGGCAAAACATCCATCCACCTCCAGACTCCCGCAGTCCTTCAAACTGTATCCCATGCATAGACCAGCAGTAAAAGGCAGTGTATCATGCAGCTCCCGCCATGAATTCAGCAGCTCCAGGTATGGCGTCCATGCCAACCATTTTTGTCCCCTCCATACAAACCAGATGGGAGACCAAGCTTATTTTATGTCCAAGCATATTTCATGTCACTTTCCAGAACGGGTTTGTATCATGCAATGCACGCAGCGAGTGCCTTCCAATAGGTTGCAACTTCAACTACCTCTTCCATGCAACCCATTCAGTGAATTCTTGTATCCAAACCTTGCAATTGGGTTTGAAAATTCCGAGACCAACCGTGCGGACCATACAGTACAGAGCAGCCAACTTCAGCCACCAAATTGAGCAGTGTCAGATCTAAGTCTCCATGCAAAACATGCAGAAACTTCGATATCAGCTGGCAGTGAATTCGCAGATGCCACTTGCGCCGATGTCATTGCCATTCCTTATCCTCCAACCAAAAGCTGCAGGCGAGCTTCTAGATCGCGACGGTACCCATGGCTAAAGCGAAGGTCATGGTGTGAAACGTATAGAGGAAAACTAGGTTCTTTGCAGCAGGTGGCAGGGCAAGGTTAAAGGGGCTAAGCTAGACAGCGAAGCACCAATAACGCTCATCAGCAGCATCACCCACTCAAAAGTCAAACATCAAATTTGCTCTGTCGCATTCTGTCACCTCTTCTCACTCCTGGCTCGCCTCCTGGCTGCCCAAGACCTCAATGACATCATGCTCATCTTGCCTAGTGGAAGGTAGTCGCATGAAGTCCTGAATTGACATCTGTTTCAGCCGCCGTGTTTCCTGGAGGGCTCCCTCAGGATCTGTTTTATGAAAGATTCGGAATCCGAGATTCAGGAGGCGGTTGAGGAATTGGTCAGTCAGTGTAGTAATGGTAACTGTGGTAAAGGCAACAAGAATAACCCTAGTGCGAGGATCGGTGCCTGGAGGTATGACGCCTGCATGCAATACTTGTCGCGCATGCAGTGTGTAGGGTGTGTCAATGTTGGCGACTCTGCCTGCAAGCAGGTTCCATGTGGTTCAGAAAATGCATCACCCGCAATGTCTTGAACCCAAATTCCTGCCCCCGGTATTGGTGTCACGATGGGGTTCGTCTCTGCATCCTCGTCTAATGGTATATAAAAGTAGTGTACCGATGAGGGGGTTTAAGCCATGCAATCAGTTTAGGTACAACAAGCAAAAGAAAGGCATATCAGCTGAAAAGTACAGTAGGCAGTCATGGCTCCTGGGGTTTGCGCCTCGAATTACAAATCTGCACCCATTGTGCCGGCGACGAAGATAACTGGTGGGGTACATGTTGAAGAGGTTAAGGACATCTCCTGGGATAGGGGGTTTGCTTTGACGAAGGAGTAACCGAGTCTGAGGAGAGGGTCTTCAGTTAGTTCAAAGGGTGGGTCACCGGCACTTTCATGTCGCCCCAAATCCTAGAATCGTCACTCTCAGATTGAATGGCGGGTTCAACTGGGGTTTCCTGAGCATCATCAAGGTACACGGTTTGTGGCGCCTCCCCACTGTAACCGACACGATTCACTCATGTCAGCTTTGGGAGGTGGAAACGACTTTGAGCCGTACCTGCAAGCATGTGGATGTAACAGTCATGTCTGGGGTTTGTGTGAAGAAAGGCGCTTAAGTATGCAAGCTGCAAGGGAGGAGTCCAAGTGCCAAAGTCTCAATTAGGGACCTCTTCTGCTATTCGCAGAGATCACGGCATGTAAACTTTGCAAAGTGGGAGCCACTTCCGACTCCTCACTTCTGAGATGACTGTACGACATCTTGACTTGCTTGTAATTAGTTCCACTATTCATTATCATGACCTTGCTATGCATAGCCTGGTCTTCACATGCTTGTCGAATTCTATTCATGCTACTCTTGGGGGCCTCGAGCAATAACACAAACTTGCCCAGAGATACTTCCAAGCGCGACACTCTCGTGCCTGAGTGTGTAAGAATGTTCTGGAAGTTGTCAGCAAACTTACGCATCGCCTTTTCCAGGTCGTCGCGCCGTCGTAGCTGACATTGCAAGGTTTCGCCCAGCTTCATGTCGGTCATGCTTTCAGAATTCCTTCATTCACAGCTTCCGGAAAAACTGCGCCCTGAGCCAAGACCGGTGTCCCCGGACCTATTTGCGGCCTCTCTCGTAGATCTCGGCAAATATCCAGAATTGGGTCAGGCTCAAGGGAACAGCATGCGAAACGCTTGGGCATCCATGGCAGGACAGAGTGAAAGGACAATCTTAAAGAACTTATCGGCTTGTAGGGAATAAAGCCGTAGAAAGGTGAAGAGTGTTGCGAAACCTTTCTAGAAGAGATCGCCCTTAGCCACAATCCTGCACGGTTTTGAACTTGACCCTAAGAGAGAACCTGATGGAAGCAGGCATGGTGATGAAGTTGGCCTCCCTAAGGCTTGCTCAACTTGGGGGCTTGAATCATTGGGCATTGACATGAAACGGGAACAGTTGTATTAAGGTTCACGTTTGGGAGGCGTGTCATTGATGATATCATGAAATCAAAACACAGAGAGAGAGAGAGAGAGAGAGAGAGAGAGGGAGGGAGAGAGACAGAGAGAGAGAAAGAGAGTTTGTTCGACCTGAATCCAACGACACCGATGCGCCTGAGCGGCGCAGAGTTGGGGGCTGCCTCGGATTCGTCGACCTGCGGCTGCGGACGCTGTGAAAGCTCTGAAGGCAAATGCGCCAATGCGCCGCATTCGCGACTAGGGGCCCCTCCTTGCAGCTGCCATCAGCTACAGAGGCTTCTACAGCAGAGAACCTCTCCTCCACTCCCTTGCCTCTGGGGAGTCGAGAGAAAGAGCCCACGTGCGCTGCAGTGGACTCCCAGAAACCACTACCTCACAAGGCTTTGTGCAAGCCACGAAGGACACAATAGCAGCTGCCCGAGCGGCTGCCATTATCTTCCGACCCAGATGCTGGAGCTCTACCTGCAAGTAAACGATGATTGCCGGCCCACCAAGGTCACCGCTCCACAAAGATGCCCAAAGTCAGTCGCTAGAACCTCACTCACAAGATCGGTCAGCGTGCGGATCAAGTGGCTGATGCCGCGGCGCCAAAAAGCATGAAAGCAGTTGTCTAACTGATTAACGAAGGCCCACGGCCCAAGGCACCTCGGGCCCCTGCTACTGTGAGCAAATCTCCGTCTCGCATGCGTGCAACCTGCGCTCGTCTCGTCTCTCTTGGACAGTTTCCCGTTCTCACGCCTACTGCAGCAAAAGAAAGCCGCTTTTCTGCTCCGACGCAGAGACGGGGTGGTGAAACCGGAGCGAGCTGCAGTCAGGAGGTTGCTTTGACTCTCCACACAGATGGTGCAAGCTGGGGTGATGTGTCCAGATGCTCGGTGCGAGCAAGGGCGAGGACCATGGTGCACGCATTGTTGTGCACCACGCTCTGAGCAACTCATGTGTCCTTTTGCTGCTTGCTCATGGCTGGTGCTTCTGGAACCGTAAACAGCCGATGGGTGAAAACCTCGGTGCAAGACTAGGAATCTCTCTACCAGGCACACGGGCTCGCAAAAGCGTGCGGACGCACGGTTTGGAGAGCCGCTTCCTCTCTCGGTGGCGTTTACATTTGTGCATCTCCCGACCTCTTCCACTGGATTGGTGAGATCCGATGGTGGAACTGACATGACATGTGGTGCTGCCGAAATACTGAATATGCAACGAGGGAAGCCGCCAATCGAAGCACCTCAAGTGCGATTACTTCTAGGGACGAGGGACGAGATTCTGGTGCCACCAAAGAGGAGCCTACAACTGCGTGGCCTTAGCTTGTGTGTAAGGTGCAGCATACTGTGACAGAGCTTTTCTGGGAGACTCCTACATTTTACACAACTGGGCTGGGCCTCCTCCATGCTGGACACCTCCAAGAGCTTGTGCACTCCGAATTCCTTCGGCTCGGAAGCAAGCATAACTAGGCAGCCGCGAGGTATTGTCATGATTGCTTGAGGTGTCAATGACGAGATGCGCGTCGCGACACCTGCGTAGTAGCACTCCAAGCACATTCGAGCATGAAGTAGCCTGCAGCTGCAGACCTTGTTTGGATGTTGCCGAAGACCGACTTACAGAATCGTACGCTTGCATATTCAACATGATCAGCACGCCACCAGGCACGCAGCAAGCTGCGCGACGAGGCAAAGCGCATCGCTGGGACCAGCCCTCTCCAGTGTGCCACTCATTGAAAATTGATTTGACTTGCTGCTGGACGCAGCAAGGTGTGAAGGATGACAGCACCTCCAGTCTGAGCGTGCGCCTATCTACCCTGTGGTGTGGCCTCCAGCATCCCAAATCGACGTTGTGCCACCTGCAATCGGGACTTCGTGTTAGTGACAAGCTTCCAGACGAGGCATGCGAGCAGAAGCGATCTGTGAAGGTTGTTGGCCTGTGGCGGCGGCACTGCTGAATACTTGTCGGACGCGCAATGCAAGCTTAGGAAGCCCCGAAGTTTGACTCTTGTTGAATCAGCCGATTCCGGCTGCTTTGTTTGAAGTGACTCCTTGTGGCACTACAGCATTCCTCCATCTCTTGCGGACAGGCACACCGCCTCCAGTTCCTTCGGACGGCAGCATGTCTTGACACCGTCTCGAATCGCATATCTCTAGCCATAAGATGCCATTCCTCCACCCCGTCCACCCCCATACCTCTGCAGTGTGTTGCCTCAGTCTATGACTCGAGCACATAGACTAGTGACTGAGTATCATCGCAATGGACATCGTAGCACGGAGTTGCTGCTTAGTAGATTGCTCCTCTCCAGAAGGTGGCCAATGCCAAATCATGCCTGGATTGTCCGTATCAACTGCAGCCGGTACACGAACACCCACAATTACACCATGACCTGATGTTTGCCGCCGGACGCGGAAACACTCCGGCAAGAGCTAGACTCGGAGTCTCTTTGACATGGGACTTGAGCCCACAGCCCAAAACTCTGAAAGGAGTGACGGTTGCCCAGCAAATGTCTGCTGGCTCAGCAAATACGAATTCCTGGCCTGAAAGTCAGGATCGAGGGTCGCAAGATCTTTTGACAAAACGCTTGGCGAGACATAGGCCGAACCAGTACGAGAACATGCGAGCTGCGGACAATGAAATTCACAAAACTTATTCTGGTTGCTACAACTTACAGGGGATGCAACCCAGCAGTTCACCATCTATCTGAAATGAAGGGCTCGCTGCCACCTGTCATCGGTGGAGAGTAGGCAGCCTGCAGCTCCTGCGACGAAAGCTTGCCAGGTTGGGGTCTCTGTTGAAATACTGCAGTTTGCTAAACCATATGGTCAAGAATTATTAGGATAACTTCGTAAACGTGTCGATACACCCCTGTCATGACGGGCGCCTTGAAATTAAGCATGCCATCTGCCCAATGCAGAAGGACTGGCGCGCAGTGGAGCCAGAACCTTCACACACGCACCCGCGCCAGTGCCCAAAAACCTACTACGGCTTGCTACCACGGATGAGGTGGCATGGAACCGGGGTCTGGAAGCAGTTCAGGCGTGTTCTTGCTGGCAGGCGACAGCACTCACCATTCACCATCGCCATTGGATCATAAAGGATTGCACGTTGCACTTCATTCAAGCCGGGTTCGTATCCAAGTGCTTTGTCAGCTAATGCTCTCCTCTTCTCGGAAGGATCCAAGTGGTGTAGCCAGGCGGCTGCCAAACCACGCTCCAGAACGAATCAATACCTGCGCAGGCAAGGGCAGTTGCACCGGACATGAACCAAGTAGGTGCTCCAGTTGAAGAGGAACATCTCTCAACAGTCTGATCTGCCGAGCACCTTCATCTGCCTGGCGAGGTGCCGTTAGCTGCTCAAACCTAAGCAGCAGTTCTGGCTCGAACTAGACGGGCAGACTTGCGGACCGCAGGCACCCCGGAATTCCTGACTGACTTTCTGCATGCGTTGCAGCACAAGAACTTGCGACTTCGACAGTCTGCTCGGGATCTGGCATGTAGGTGAGCAGCATGGCATGAGCACCACCAAAACTGGGACCGTGAAGGATGCGAGTCACATGCCGCCTTCGAGAACCAGTTTTGCACAATTCGCAACTGAAGCGACAAAGTAAAAAAAGGCCGGCTAATGCCGGTCTGGGGGTTTTTGCATCCCGTATCATCACGTGTCCACTCTTCACGCACTTCATGCCTGAGCTGCTAATGCCAAGCATGGACCATTCAGCATGCCACGTTATCCGACGACTGTCACAACAGGTATAAGCTTCACTGTGGTCGACGGTTTGCTCGCAGACCAGCACTTTGCGCTGGATTTACTTGTAGAGCCTTCAAGAACGTTCCGATGCTACAAACCCCTGCGAACTAAGACACCAAGATGACAGCAGGGAGCTGGAAGTTCGTCTGCTGACAATAATCAAGAAGCCGCTGTCTCATGACTTACTCGGTCAGCTCAGTCGTCCTTACCCCCGAGATAATGTCTCGAAATGCCTTTGGTCGAAACCCGTCGCATCCGTCTTCTTACACTTACTAACGATGGAGTGCACAGACTTCGCTAATTACCTAGTTGCTGGCTCAGCTCGGCCGCAAAGCCGGGATGCTGTTGCAAACATAAAACCCTCATTGATCCGCCCGACGCCACAGGTTTCGGCTTTATTCTCTCTGCATGTGTTCAACGCCTTCATGACACCTCGCAGTTTCCTCTTGCTCAAGAGCTGCAATCGTGAGTAACGGTATAAGTATAAGCGATTTACCGAAAACTCACGAACATCCGGCTTTTGTACGCAAGTACCATGATATGGTGCCACCAACAGGCCCAGACACACAGCATAGCGGTGCACAATGGACTTGACAACGTGAGCTTCATGATTATAGGCACGCTCAGAAGCCATCAATTGGAACTGTCCCATTCGCTCATGAAACAAATCTCAGCCCAACACGCCCCCTTCTCACAAAGGCCGAAATAGAGAACGTGCAGCGCCAGGGTCCAGCTCAGCAGCTGTAGCCACACCATCGCCTCAACGACAGGGTGCGCTTCGGTTGCAAAAGCCCGAATTGCTGATCGGCCTTGGGGAGCTCCATGAAGAGGCAAGCAAAGAGGTGAGCGGCAAAAAGCCTTCTTCGCAAACGCTGCTCTCAAGAATGCCCCAAGCCCTCACGCAGCATGCGCCTGCGGGACAAATAGATAGGAAGCGGATGCGACGGGCTCCAGACGCGATGCACGGCCTGGCATTTTTGCAATCCCCTAACTGTAATGCGCGTAACGTTGATCAACCACCAGCGCAAGTCAACACGCATGTTATTAAACTATGTGGTGTCAAATCAGTCTATACTGCGCCGCTAGATGCGGGAAGGTCCGTTCCTTTGGATTTCGGAAAACCTCCCCCTCAGGCTACTACTATTCCTATACTTGCTACTAAACTCCTGTTTCTACTACTTCTACAACTACAACAACAACAACTACTACTACTACTACTACTACTACTACCACCCCCGTGTGCCGCGAATTTGGAACAGTTATTTGGGAAAGATTGCGACGCAGTCTTGCAATCTTGGTCTCGCCGACTAGTTTACCTTTTGGACCAAGATTGCAAGCAATCTTGCACTCTTGGTCTCCCAAAGGTAAACTGGTCGGTGAGCAAGTGGGGCAGCGGCAAGATGACCAAGATTTCCAAGACGGTTCCAA